TCATTCACTCCTTGTGCGGATCTTCCACTTACGTAAAAATCGATAAGATACCATTTTAAGAAACATTCTTTTGTGCAACTGGTTCCATTTGTCAGTTTGAACAAAGAAAGAAAGAACATATTTGTTTGGAGGATTTCATCGTCAGCTGACATCAGTTAGAGAACCATTGGAAAACCAGCCGGGAGTACTGGACCGCTATTTCGTCAGCCTAGTTTGGAATTCTTCAGCTGTACGCATCCACCGCTGGGGCTATAACACAGGACCTTCTGGTTACAAGGCAAACTCGTAGACCATTAAACCACTGGGACACGATCCAATGACCAGCCCATGAATTCTAACTTCTGCCAATTTATGACATAGCGCTACCACTTCGCAATATCTTCTTCGATGAGTAACTGTCCTCACCTTCAAGCTGCTGTACACTACTGATCACGGTTTCCCACTAGAATTCCAGGTAACTACATACCTGAAAAGGGCTACCAGCTAGTGAGCATCAGATTAATTTTCAAGCATTGGTTTTGTAGGGAATTTGTTTGATTCGTTGAAGGATTTCATTATGAGCTGACATTAGTTAGAGAATCATTGGAAAACCTGATGAGGCAGTAACTTATCGAAGAAGACATTGCGAAGTGGTCACGCTATGTCATGGATCAGCAGAGTTTAGAATTCATGGGCCATTGGATCAGGTCCCAGTGGCTGCTCAGTGGTCTACGAGCCCCGGTAGGTGGGTGCGTACCGCTGAAGAGTCCGAAGCCCTGGGATGAAACAGCTTTTCAGTACTCCCAGCTTGTTTTCCATTGGTTCTCTGACTGATGTCAGCTCACAATGAAATCCTCCAACAATCCTCCAAACAAAATCACTACATTTCCAATACTTGAAAAACGAACATATTTCTAGGATGATACGAGCTCTTTTTATGTCGTAGATTCTCTTCAACTGCAGACATCCTTAACAAAATCAAATTATAGGTTACAAAATTCTTGAACATACATTTTTCACAGTGACTTCGAGTTATAAATAGAAAGTATAAGCAAGACAATTCCAAAAATGATGTAAGTAGACAAAGTATTTAACGTTAAAAGACTAAGTATTTATGGTATAATTAGATAAGAGTGGGATAGAGTTCAGATTTGGCTTAGAAACAAGAATTGAATACAGACAAAATATAAGATAGAACAACAGAGTGAATTTCTACATATTATGATAGACAGTTCACTAGGGTGGGAGTGAATAGCAGAGTAAAATTATGACAGACAAAGAAATTAAGTAAATTTGGTAATTTAATAGTGAGTTCTAATCAGTGAAAAGCAAAATTAAGTGGAATATTACGCAACAGAACAAATCATTTACAGTTATCAAGATAGTGAGAGATTAGTCACTCTATCTTTCTGCATATAGAGATTGTGCCGAAGTCTTTTGATCGCAGTGGCTTCTGCCAACCAAGATTCTCCTAATGTGTTGATTATTTTGAAAGCCTGTCTAATTTCCGCTGTATATCACGTGTCATTTAGACGTCTGACAATTGCACTTCAGAACACTTTGATGCCTTTCATATGGAAACTTGTAGAAATTTGCTTAGAAAATCCAGTAGATGCTCTCATTTCAGTCCTTCATATGGACTTGCTGTTGCAAATGGAGGTGAATTGGTAAATGAATTTGGAGTTGACATGAGCAGGATACTTTTGACTGAATCAACGAGTATAACGTGTTATAAAGTAGAATTGTAACAACAGAAGACAAACGCCAGGCAACAGATCGTTTATTAAGGAAAATCAACACATATTTATAGATTTTAATGTACATTATTGTAGATTATTGTTAGTAGAAAATGCAGTCTTTTGATTGGTTGTTTCTCACAGAAAGTTAATCTTCCATCTCTTTGTGGCTGTGTCAGACCATCCATATGCTAACTGTATCCGCCTACGCAAAGCCTTTATTCTCATCATTTTCTCACCACCAATATTGGGGACATAAACACTGACGTCAATTACTGTCTACCAACTTTGGCTAGCAGTCAGCTCTCACCACAGAATGAGTCTGGCAGCAGAAAGCATATGATAATACTTCGAAGTGTTTTTCGTCTGTTTTCTCTGAAAAAATTCATAGAATTAGATTGAAACGTATTTGGAAAGGCGCCTGGGAACAGATTGTGATCCAAGGTTGTAGTTGTATGATTAAAACAATTCGGAGTAGAAAGAATCTGATGTATTTTGATGGATTGGAAATTAGGTGGCCCAATGATTTAACTAAGATGCCACTTCATCCTGCATTGTCTTTATTTGACTTTATTTGATTCATGAAGGTTTGAAAAGTTATGATGAATGAAGATACGAATAGTTCAGCAAAACCAGAGTGTTGAATTTCATGGGCAGTTACAAACAGATACGACATGAACATGGATTTACTCAATGAACAGCACCTTAACGTTTTAGACATCTTTTGCTTATAAAATGGCTTTAATCATCCAAACAAGAAGCAGTATAAAATGTGAGGCTTCTAGCATCACAGAAAATAGCAAAGTTGACCACAAAGTTTCATCATCTGTCAACAGATTACCAGAACGCCAAAATTTTGCTCTGACATCAAAACACGAGCATTTTACTTTGCGGCTTCTGTTCAGATATAATTAATGAAGTAGGAGCATGCTTTTTTCTTTTACTAAGCAGAAGCCAAATTATGAAGATCATTGTTTAGCAAAACTCGACATCTATCAACCGCAGGTGTAGTTAAAACACTGAAATATACTAGGATATACTTTATTTCCATGGAAAGAAATTAGGTGTCGAACTTTGGAAATCTTTAAGCTTGGATGTTTTGCATTTTGAAGAGTTAATAACAGTCCTTATATCTACAACTTTTGAAGGGACTCTGAAATTCAGACCTGTCTAACACGTAATCCACTGTAAGGCTGTATCCTACGAATAACTGGTCAAATTCTTTTTCGAAACTATGTAAATGTAGAAGATAGCCTCGTAGCTCAAGAAAACATTCTAACAATTGACAAAGGGAAAAAGCTGAAAACTTGACTGATAGGATTTAGTTAGTTATAAGATTTAGAAAACCTCCTGATGATTAATCAGTGTATGCATTATAGTCCTATGTATCGTGGTTCAAATATATCAGAATCAAAACGAATGACTACATCACTGATCATTGGGGGTTCAAATTTCTGAGCAGACATTAAGTTGCGCCTGTGTCTTACAAAAGAATATGAATTAAAGTGACATCTAGGTCAAAAAGCTTCCAACTGACTGTTCATTGTCATCAAAAATGAATTGAAGCATGAATTAATTGAAGAAAAATAACTTCATACAACTGTTTCCCTTGATAAATTTCGATAAAGAAAGGAAGATGAAATTTGCAGTATAAAATGATACCATTCTATTTCACAGGTTCTCATCATCTGCAGACTACCTGAAATTACAATGGTTATATAAATGATAATAACATACTTTAATGTTTGAGTAGTAGTAGAGAAGAGATAAAATTGACGCATCCAAAAAAGAATGAAAGCATTACAATTTTTAGTTTAGGTTATCATCATCAATTTATACACTTTCAAAGTTGAAAAGAGGGGGAAGGGGTAAGACAGAAAACAGAAAAATTGATTAACAGAAACAGTGTTAGCTGGTAGGTTCACATGGCAACTCCAGGGCCAGGAAGCTATGTTCACCAAACAGGGTCGAAGGAGAAATAGATTTCGTCGAGAAATGCTAAAAGAAAATGGATACTCTAAAGGATTTATACAGAAGTATAGCAGAGAAAAAGGTAAGAAAGAAAAGCATCCAACTGTAGAAAAGAAAAAAGTGTTTATTTGTCTCCCATTCAAAGGACATGCAATTTCACAAAAGATTGACAGAAGACTGAAAGGAGCAATAAATAGAAGCTTCCCGGCAGCAAAACTCAAAACAGTATACAACACCACTCCTTCCATGATCCACTCAAAACTGGATAAATACCCTGCTGATGTCACGTTTGTGAATTTACGTGCACTTGCGGGAGCAAGTACATTGGAAGGCCAGAAAGAAGGGCTTCTATCCGGTTTTCTGAACATATTCCAAGAACCTTATGCCCGAAAGGAAGCAAATATTCTCAGAGTGCAATTAACAGACATATTGTTGACACCGGACATCTCGTAGAGATTTCTAAGTCCTTCAAAATATTAAATAGACAAAGGACAGCAAATTTACTACGATTTGCCGAAGCGATCGCAATCAAACGATTTAAACCAGACTTATGCATACAGAAAGAGAGTGTGATTAACCTCTCACTTCCTTGGTAACTGAATTTTGATTTTGATGACATTAATTAGTCATCTGATTCAGTGATCTCAACTCACTGAGCAAATCTCAATCTTATGAACTGTAAATGCTTTTGTTTTGTTTTTTGGAGTTGCCATGTGAACCTACCAGCTAACACTGTTCCTGTTAATCAATTTTTCTGTTTTCTGTCTTACCCCTCCCCCTTCTTTTCAACTTTGAAAGTGTATAAATTGATGATGATAACTTGAACTAAAAATTGTAATGCTTTCATTCATTTTTGGATGCGTCAATTTTATCTCTTCTCTACTACTACTCAAACATTAAAGTATGTTATTATCATTTATATAACCATTGTAATTTCAGGTAGTCTGCAGCTGATGAGAACCTGTGAAACAGAATGATATCATTTTATACTGCAAATTTCGTCTTCCTTTCTTTATTGAAGAAAAATAAGTTTATTACGAACGAAGGGCATTCAAAACTTGAATGCTGAAACATCTTGAACAGAATTCCCAAGTTGTCAATAAAAATGATTTTAAAAGATATCAGTTTTCTCACAACATTTTACAAAAGATGAGTAGTGTTATAATAAAAAATAAAGTGATAAGAACCTGTAATACTTTGAAATTTTCCATTTTCTTTTTTTTCCTCTAAATACTCATTTCATTATATAATGAGACAATAAAAAAAGTATTTTGGAAAAACAAACAACTCATTGTATGTTTTTTTTATTTACAGTAAATCTAATACAAAAAAGAAGAAGCTAAATAAAAATGTCGTCTGTAAAAGTTGCTGTACGTGTACGACCCTTCAATAGACGAGAACTTATGATGAATAGTGAGTGTATCATTTCAATGTCGGATAAATCAACAAGTAAGTATGTCTTCTTTTCAAAAATTTAAAACAATTAGTCCCTTTTATAAATTTGGATAACGTTATTAGAAGACGGAGATTATCTGAAAAGGTATGTGATGTATTTGCGCTATACATTTCGAACAATCTGATCCCTCACACATTTACTTGTCAAGTCGATACATATGAAAAAGTTAAATTAAACAAAGTGACAAAAGAAAGATTTAAGAATGATTAACACAACGTTTGGTAATCCAATCAAATAAGGATTACCAATGTAGGTTAAGAGTAATAATAAACTGTTTTTGAATACACAGGGGGGGGGGGGGTGGCTTACGTTTATGAATAGCTATAGCCTCGGCGTATTTCAATAAGCGCCCTTGACCGTTTTTATAGATGACCTTGCATTTTTAGACATACTTCTGAGTCGAAGAGATGATGGTTCAATAAGACGATCAATCTACAGAAAGCCCACTTGGACAGGGCAGCACCTTAATTTTCACAGCTTCTGTCCATTACAGTATAAGAGAGGCTTGATGAAATGTCTATTTAAGAGGATTCAGCGTATTTGCACGGCTGATGCTATAGACAAAGAAAACGAAATATTGATGGATACTCTTGTTGAAAACGGATATCCTTTAAAATTTTTAAACAGGTGTAGAAGTCAATTAGTCTCTAAACCTACAATCCATACTGCCCCTAAGAAATAAACAGTAGGATTTTGAGACAAAGGTTGAATTCGATCATCCGTAGAACCTATTATGCAGCCCAGCTTATAATTGTCGAAAAAGCTAAAAATATGCTCTACTACAAACCTCAAAAGTGCACAAGTGATTATGTCACATCCCACACTGTTTACCAATTTTCGTGTGTGTGTGTGTGTGAACACACATACAAAGGGAGGAGTAATCGGGCAACAGGGATCTTTGGGAGCGGACCAACCAGGAACCGATTGTGAAACAAATAGGCAGGAAGAAATGGAGATGGATTGGCTGGCCATACTCTGAGGAAACCATCAAGTGACATCACTAGACAAGCCATTGCTCGAGTGGAACCCGAAAGGGAAGCGGCGAGTTAGTCATCAGTGCAAGGGTGACTTGGAGGAGGTCATGTGAAGAGGAGATGAAAACGTGTGGGCAGACTTGAAGCCAGGTGAAGACTCTAGCATAGAACTGAACGCAATGGAGACGCACGGCTGAAGCCCTATGTTCCTCTAGGAATGAAAGGATACAATAATAATAATAATCGCGCTTTGCATGTGAGGATGGGAGAGCATATCCCGAAATGGTTAGAAAAACAAATGAATTGTGGAAAACCAATAGATGCAGGTGTCAGACTACCAACTTCGTCTATAGCTAAACACCTAATCGAGATGAACCATAAGATTGATGTTAACTCAGCCTTTAAGGTCATCCATAAAAATGGTCAAGGGCGCTCATTGAAATACGCCGAGGCTATAGCTATTCATAAACGTAAGGCCCCCCTGTGTATCAAAAAACAGTTTATTATCACTCTTAACCTACATTCGTAATCCTTATTTGATTGGATTACCAAACGTTGTGTTAATCATTCTTAAATCCTTTTTTGTCACTTTGTTTAATTTAACATCTTCATATATATATATATATATATATATATATATATATATATATCGACTTGACTAGTAGATGTGTGAGGGATCAGATTGTTCGAAATGCATAGCGCAAATTGTTGGTATAAGATGGTTGGAGGCAATCGGCAGGAAGCCTTGGACCTAGGTTTCGTGCTAGTTGGCACTCATCAGCAAGGCGTATCTGCAACCTTGAAGGAACTGATGTCCCTTCTGAGATTCGAACCCGCGTCACCCAGTGCTGCAGTCAGAGACGTTACCACTGAGCAATTCAGGCTCACGACTGCCCTCTTGTAGGACTGTACTGGATACTTTTGATTGCACACTAGTTACTGACTAGTGTGCAATCAAAAGTATAGCGCAAATACATCACACACCTTCTTAGATAATCTCCGTCTTCTTATAACGTTATCCAAGTAAGTATGTTTTAGTTGTATACAATGTTAAGAAAGTGTATCTTTTTGATATCTATGATAACTTTTCAGACAAGTAAAATTTACTATTGTTCTATTGCTTTGCGTTTCGAGTAGGACACAGGACTTCCAGCTTTGAGCTTTTCAGTTTCATGGGAAGTAATGTTGTTCCCTTTTTACACAGTGGGTTTGAAAGCCTCAAGCTGAACCTTCACCGTTTACGGGGCTCACAACAGGTTAGCCTGAGGATTGGATCACGCACCACGTGCTTGGTTGGCAGGCGTTTTACCACTGAACTATACCGACGTCTACAGTAGATAACATATATCATATGGTTGGAGGCAGTTGACAGGAATCCCTTGGACCTAGGTTTCGTGCTAGCTGACATCCATCAGCAAGACGTATCTGCAACCAAGGCTTCCTGCCAATTACCTCCAACCATCTAATATCAACAATTCAAAGTACATCTTGATGACAAACCACTTAGAATGGTGGCCATATTCCAAGCGTGACTGACAGAATTCAGTCTGTATCGAACATTACACTAATTACTAGCTACTGTCCAGAAGTACTCTGGCGATGCTTGGCTGTAAAGGGAATGCCGAGAAAATACATTGCACTGATCAAGGCACTCTACTCGAACTCAAGCAGCCAGCCAGGTGAGGGCTTATGGCGAGTTGTCATCTGAAGCGGTGACGACAAGTGTTGTCCATCAGGGATGCCCATTATCCCCATTTCTATTCAATTTCATAATAGATGTACTAATGGACTTAACCTTAACTCACTTCAGAGACTCAGGGATTGACTCACTACCAGGGTTTAATCTCGCTGACTTGGAATATGCAGACAATACAGTACTTCTAGTCGAGGACGCTGACAAAATGCAGAGACTTCTGAACACCTTGAGCTGCAATCTACGAATGTTTGAAATGCGATTCGCTCCTGTCAAATGAAAGATGATGTTACGGGACTGGACTACATTGACTCCTAGTTTAGAAATAGGGAGTGAAGTGGTAGAGCACGTTGACCGCTTCACTTATTTGGGAAGTTGCATCAGCCAGTGCCAACGGGTTGATCTCTGATGAAATTTCAGCACGGATACAGAGGGCTAGTTTCGCATATGCCAGTTTACACCGTCTCTGGCTTAGTAGACGTGATATCCGACTATCGACCAAAGGGCGTGTGTACTGCTCATCAGTCCGCTCCGTCCTCCTTTATGGCTGTGAGACCTGGCCATTGAGAGTGGAAGACATGAAAAGATTAGTTGTCTTTGATCACAGGTATCTGCGTTCTATCTCCCATGTGAAGTGGTATAATAAGGTGAGCAATAGTGAGGTTAGGCATCGAGTGCTAGGTAAGGAGGGGAAATCAATCGACGAGACTGTGAAATTACATCGATCTCAATGGCGTAGATGCTTCCACTCCTTGTGACTTATGGTTTCCAATGAAACTGTTTTGTTCTTCGTTATTACTATTCTTTTGTCTCACACCTCTGTTTACTGTCTCTATTATGCATTTCTTCTACTTTCTTCTCTTCCTTTGTGTGCTACATGGAGTGTGGCGACCTGAACTGCCGCACATCGGTGCAAAGTTCTATGTCGAAAACAGACAGACTGTTCAATCAAAAGATAACAGATAATCCTATCCATCATAGTGACAGTAATCGATTAGAGCTTGTAAGTTATGGTGAATGAATCAAACAGAGAGAGAGATGTGGAACTGTGGTCTTGTGGTTAATATGTTGCAAAGCGCTCATTATTTGGTAGAAGAAAAATAAACTGAACAATTATTGATTGAGCTGTCGATTACGCTGGTTGACTGTCACTTGAAATACTTGAGAAGATTTGTAACTCAGTTGAATATTTCTAGTTTGGTTGTGCTATGTGAACTTACTGATTTATGTATCTCTGTAGGCTACATCTTCAGCGCTTATTTCCCTGTGGAGTAAGTATTATGGGATTCTCTGTGAATGATAAGACTATTCCCTCTTGTTAGCATGACCCTGATTTGTTGTCTCCGACAGTTTCCTTATCTATGTGTCAGTTTGTATTGATATCAATCGTTTCCTTGATATGACATCTTAAGCCAATTTATTTTGTGACCTGCTCTTTTATTTTCCTTCACGTTCCCAGTGGAACATAGGGCCTCAAGCTAGTGGCTTGAATTTTCTGTATTATTATTATTGTTTCCTTTAATTCCTAGGGGAACATAGGGCTTCAGCCGTGCGTCTCCATTGCGTTCAGTTCTATGCTAGAGTCTTCACCTGGCTCCACATCTGTTTACATGCTTTCATCTCCTCTTCACATGACCTCCTCCAAGTCACCCTTGCACTGATGACCAACTCGCCGCTTCCCCTTCGGTTTCCACTCAGAGTTTGACCAATCCATCTCCATTTCTTCCTGCCTATTTGTTTCACAATCGGTTCCTGGTTGGTTCGTTCCCAAAGATCCCTGTTGCTGATCTTTTCTGGCCGGCCATCTGATCTTGAGTATTGAGCGAAGACAACTGTTAATGAAAGTCTGTAGTTTGTTTGATGTGCTATTTATGATGCGCAGTGCAAGTCTGTGATCCGTATGGTGAGTAGCACTGACTTCACATTGAAGTTGAAAATCCGGATCATATTTTTGATGCTGAGTGTTGTTGACCTCCACACAGACTTGAGAGTAGTGAAAGCTTGTCTTGCTTTTCCGATTCTTGCTTTGATATCCACATCCGTCCCATCCGCCTGTAGTTGAAACGATGCTTCCCAGGTAGGTAGAGAGGTTGTTTCTTTCAAGTTCCTCCCATTTATGTTGATCGTTGTCTGTTGTTGTTGTTGTCCAGGAATCTTCATTACCTCTGTTTTCTCTGTAGCAGTGTTTGATTTTTACAGGATGGGGTTGCTAGCCTCAGGCACAACCTTTCCTATTTACCAGCCTTTTTATTACTGGCTCAGCGAGGAAAAGGAGTGCCTCGGCCGGCGGTTGAACCCCGGACAATGTATATGGTTGGCGGACATCCTAACTACTGTGCTACCAACGCAAAGGAAGGAATATATGTCGTGTCTTATGATGGCTAGTTAATGTTCTTTTGTTTCGAAGTTGTGGGTGATATC